CACATCAAAAAATAGAAGATTTACTGTTATGCAATACTGTAATAATTGTATAAATATCATCACCATATTTGTGAATGTATATTAGACTCACCAGCTGACGTGTATTAGACGTGTGAGGTCGTTTGTTTACTCTTGAATATCGGCAAAAATTTAACATTTCTGCTACTTTGAGCTCAGTTTCAAGCCATTTCCAGTGCTAAAACCAATCAAAATTATCTCCATTTCTGTAATATGTCTTCCATTCTATCAAATGAGACCAAGAAATCGCAAATACAACTATAAAAAACATACGAAAAAACACTGCAAAGTTGCTGTTTTAATCGAAAAATCATGATTTCATTTTTTTTCTCTCATTATACACAGTGTGCTGCAGGATCTGTTTTATGTGGTGCACACATACCACATAGATGTATTCTCTCATATCTAGGCCCAAATGTACCACTCACAGTTTATCAGAGTGAGCTGAGCTCATGGCGTAGATCTACGGTTTGGACCCTGAACGTAAAGCCGTAGATCTACGGGACGGACCCTGAAAGGGCTAAAATCAGTAGAAGCCAGTAGAATACCAAAAGATGGGCAGGAGAATACTCTCTACTGCCAGTAGATCTATACTGTAAGGTGTTCTGGTAATTACTGCTGCGGTGCGTACCGTGAGGTGTTCAGGTACTTACTGCCTCTAAAGCCAGTAGATGTGTACCGTGAGGTGTTCAGGTACCTACTGCTTCTAAAGCCAGTAGATGTGTACCGTGAGGTGTTCAGGTACTTATTGCTTCTAAAGCCAGTAGATGTGTACCGTGAGGTGTTCAGGTACTTACTGCTCTAAGGCCGGCTCAGCAGTCCCCACATTGGGTTTGATGACGTACCCAGTGGTACTGCCGGCCGGCAGGTTAACCATTTAACCACTAGTTTGGTAGGGGGCTGCAACAGCCTCTGATGTGGAACTTTATCGAAAGCCTTACTGAAGTCCATATACACAATATCATATTGATTTTCATGATCTACCTCCTCAAATACCTTAGTGAAAAGAGAAGTAAATTCATAAGGCAGGAATATTCCTTTGTAAAACCATGCTGAGATTTACTGATCAATTTATGTCTTTCAAGGTGGCTTCGAATAGTCTTGGCAGTTATTGATTACATCAATTTTCATACACTGGGGATTAGGCTAATTGGTCTATAATTTGAAGCTAATAACCTGTCTCCTGCTTTGTAGACAGGTACATTTGCCATTTTCTACTTGGCTGGCACTATGCCAGTTTGTAGTGACATACAGTAGACCGTCATTTAACACGGTAGTTACGTTCCTGAAAATGCCGTGTTAGGTAAAACTGTTAGATGAACTGAAGAACTCATGGGGAAATAGGGTTACATTCCTACGAGCCCCAAAGAAGGCAAACAATTTTTCTTTGGCCTCCACATCTTACAAAAATAAAAGTGAATATGTAATTGTAGTTCATTGTTGTGATGCATTATGTTGTTTTTACTGCTTAAGACTACAAATGTAACATAAATAATAGTATTTTTTACCTTAAATTGTGGGTGCTGGTGTTTGTGGATGATTGTGAAGAGAGTGGAGAGTTATGTTGTGGTCCTACTGGGCTGAGGTGGATGGTTGAGGTTCTGATACTGAAGTCAATGGTTGTACTGGAGTGTCTAAGTCATTCAGTCATTCAGTCAGTCAAGTCATTCGGTCAAATCATTCAGTCAGTCAAGTCATTCAGTCAGTAAGTCAGACAGTCAGACAAGTCAGTAAGTCAAGTAAGTTATTCAGTCAAGTCAGTAAGCTATTCAGTCAAGTCAGTAAGTCACTCAGTAAGTCAGTCAGTCATTCAGTAAGTTAGTCAGTCAGTCATTAAGTCAGTCATTCAGTCAGTCAGTCAATTAGTCAGTCAGTCAGTCATTCAGTAAGTCAATCAGTCATTCAGTAAGTCATTCAGTCACACAAACTTTGTTTATCTCTTTTTATGTTGACAAAGTAACACTTCATTACGGCCACAGGTTACCTCTTGTCTAATATCTTTGTTTTCTTCATTAATTCTAAGACTTAAATGCTTATACCTTTTCTTGCCACTTTCAGAAACACTGGTATGCCTACTGGGTGTCCTGATTGCTTGGCAGATACAAGATACAGTAATTAAAAGATTAAAATAATTCACAAACACAGCTAGCTTGTAGCAGAGAAGAAGGACTGGACACGTATGAAGTACAAATGCTGAGATGGTGTGTCAGCATAGTTGCTGATCCCCTGTGTATGTATATGTTATCTAAGTATCATAGTTAGTACCATCCATATGTTTTACATACACGACCCCTTGCTAGGCTCAGTGACTAGCATGTGTGATGTCACGTGATGCCGCACAAGTGCGTGGGATGCGCTGTCTCGTTCTCAGTTCCCCGTAGACCTACCAGGCAACAGGACAGGCAGGCTGGGCTCCTCTCTCACACTCTGCTAATATATGTGTTACCATCCAACAAGTGTGTTTAACTCCAACCATCACACCTCCATGAACCCTCTCAACAAATGGTGGCAGCGGTGGGATGGACTGATCCAGTGGAGTGGATGAGGTCTTCCCTGTTGAAATAACACCAACCCACTGGTCAGGTGGCAAGTCATCCTGTACATGAACAGGGTAAGGATAGTGAACCAGGTCAACAAGATTGGTATTTGCTCTGAGACGAACACTGTGACCAGAAGTGTTAGCAAGAAATAAATGGATCTTACTGTCTCTTACAACATGTAAGGATGGTTCAACAAATAAACCCTTTACTTTGCAGGAATCACTGTCAACTAGGACGTTATCACCATCTGGAACACTAGGAACAACAACAGACACTCTAGTGAGAGCACTAGCCACAACAGAGACGTCTTTCTGCAGACGGCATGTGACATCAACAAGAGATGGCATTACTAGTTTCAAGTAATCATTTTCTGACAAGGCATCCCCTGTGGAGAAACTACTACTTGAACTAGCAAACATTGCAGGGATAGGCTGAGCACTCAAGGCAGTATGAGTGTCCTTGGACACTTGAGGCAACGGAACACTATCCTGCATGTCTGAAGGTGTAGGTGGAACACAGATGGAAGTGACAGAGTTACTAGTGCCTGACCGCTTGGGTACGCTACTGGAAAATGCACTGGCTTGTAAGGGCTTAATCCAAACGTCGTACTCTGCGGCAGTATGGCAGATCTTGGATCCAAGCTGGTAACCCCAAAATGGAATGATCAAGTCATCAATTTGGGCGGGCATGCCATTGGTAGCGTGGCCGAGCGAATGTAGACAGCCTGTGCTGTCTGCACAGACAGCCTATGCTGTCTGCCAGCTGAGTTCATATTTTGCGCCATGCTGGTGCTGCCACCTAGGCCTATCACTTAAGTATGCCCACCCCTGCATCTATCTCACTCACTCAGCAGCCTAGACTCACACAACAGGTCCTACCCTCTCTCCCTCATGGGCATGGCCCTCCCAGGCCATGGGCACTTAACACACTGCCTGTGTACCCCACTATCTCACAAATAAAGTAACACATATGGTGTCAGGGGGTGGCAGGGGATGGCAGGAGGTCTCCTCCCGCTGATCCACAACAAGGCGGGCGCTTGAGGAAAAGGGAATTTATTTTTCCTTCCTGCAAACTGAACCATGTTAAATTAATTTTACGACGTGTTACGTAAAACTGTGCCACTATTCTTCAATTGTGCTATACCCGAATCATGCCAAATAAACTTGTGCTAAATGACAATCTACTGCATTGAAAAGATTAGTTCTTCTTTACATTCCTTTAAAACCCTTTCAAGCAATTCATCAGGGCCTGGGGATTTGTTAGGTTTTAATTTCTCTATTTGTCTGAGGACCATGTCACTAGTTACCCCAATAGTGCATAGTCTATTATTGTCCTGTTCTACATAATTTATTATTTCTGGAATTTCGCTAGTATCTTCCTGAGTAAAAACCGAGAGGAAGTAGGTAATGAAAAGTTCACACATTTCCTTATCACTGTCAGCAATCTGACCTGAGTTACTCTTAAGTGGGCCTATCTTGTCCCTAATCATACTTCTGTATACCTAAAAGAACCCTTTAGGGTTAGTCTTCCTTGCAACTTTAGCCTCATAATCCCTTTTTGCTTTTCTTATTTCTTTTTTCATCTCTCTCTTTAATTGAATATAATGATTTCCTAACTGCCCATCCCTTTTTATATGCCTATATGTGCCTCTCTTTTGACCAATTAGATGTTTTAATCTATTGTTTATCCATTTGGGATAATTTTTGTTAGATTTAATTTCCCTACTCAGAACAAAAGTTGTCTGGGCAGCTAGCACTATGCTCTGAAACATGTCATATTGGCAACCAACACCACCTACCTGACCCACAGTCAGGTCATTCCAATTTAGCCCACCCAGGTAATTTCTCAGTCCCATGAAGTCGGCCAAGCAGAAATTTGAGACAGACTTGACTGCAGTTATCTAGGTAATTCCATGATATATTGAAACTAAGTGATTCGTGATCGCCTTCCCTAAGCTCATCATTAACCTCAAGATTATTAACTAGTGATTCTTTGTTGGCAAGAACCAAGTCAAGCAGGTTGTTTCCTCTAGTTGGTTCTGTTACAAACTGTTTTAAAAAGCACTCCTGAACCATATCAAGAAAGTCACTAGACTCCAGATTTCCTGTCATACTGTATTAATTAACTGCAAACAAAAAACATATTGAAGTAAGTTACCTATAAATTCCTTCATGAGTTTGATTAAGTGTATTATAGGCAAACCAAGTAAAAATTGGCAAAAACACTTAACATTACATAAATATTCCAAACATTTTCACAAATCAATCTGTTTTCATATCCAATGCCATGTTTCCTAGCATATTCTCTGAATATTTCCCATATTAATTACCCTACTTCCAAAATATTGCTGTAACTCGCATACAATGCAGTATTTGCTATTTTGGATACTGAGGTAGGTAACACTGGCTTGAAATAAAAAAAAAGTAGTGAATATACACTCACCTGCTTTACATATTCCACCTCCTGGATGACCTGCATGGATGCAGCTCCAGCTCGACCAACGTTCACTGTTACAGGTTTCACCAAAGCTGATCGTGCAAAATTTTGGATCTTCTTTGGCATAGTGGCCGAGAAGAGAAGAGTTTGTCTTTGTGCTTTAAAGTATGAATATATAGTTCGAACATCTTCTTCAAAGCCCATATCAATCATTCTGTCAGCCTCATCCATAACCAGATATCTAAAAAGTTACAAAATAAGAACAGACTGAGCTTGTGCATTCATATTCTGACTTTAATTCATTTAAGTACAAATGTGAGGTAAAGATGTACAATTCACATGTGCAAAAACTTCTAACTCCAAGAGCTGTCAAATTCAATCTTGCAGGAATGACAGAGGCCAAGAGATATAAAATTTATCATATGCAAAAGAATGCATTTACTAAAAGTATAAAATTCATTCTAAGTGATACTTAAGAGGTGTAAAAATAATTTCATGAGCATGTCAAAAATCTAAGTCATTGAGGTGCAGTATTGTGTACAAAAGAAGGTGAGGCATCCTTCTTAGAGGGAGGATACCGTATTTCTTTGTATATTTAGCACAATTTTGTTTGAACAATGAATGTTGCTAAAATAAACATTTGCCCAAGGACAATTAAAATGTGTGAGAATTTTCACTACTAATTCTAGTAATATTTCACATAAAAAATATACATATAAGAATAAATTGTACTTAGTGTGGTGGAGTGATAATAATTAGAAAATTCTTCTTTTATTGCATTATGAGAAGTGTACAGCTACTTGTGGAAATACATAAAACCTGAAATTGGCAGTGGTTACAATATACACAACGGAAAGTAAATATGTATTCTTCCAGTAATCTTTCTTCACCATTCGCCCTACCATAGCCAATAATAGTGATAAAATAGCATTGGATGTGGTGGAGGTAGAAAAAAAAATAGAAAAGCTAAATACTGTGATCTATAAATTCCCAAAACCTCAGGCTGTAAAACAGGGCGTTAGCAGTCACTGGCCATTCGTCATAGTAGGAACTGCCAGAAGTCACCGCTTTCTCCAACATGCAAGTTATACCTTTTGTATCAAACTGAACACATATTGTTCTGTTAAATAATATTCCAGTAGTCCTTGCATGAGCTAGTCCAAAAATCACTGACTGCTTTCATTCAAAAATAGGTAATCCACTGACTAGATCCATCCAAGAAATAAGTGAACCAATGACCAGATTCAAAAACTGACGGGGTTTTTAAGTGCCCTTATCAAACACCCAAACAGTTACTGCTAGCAGTTGTAAGAATGTTTCATACACATAGTGGTGTACTTAGGAATCTGTGGAGACAAAGAACTTTGTCCGTGGAAGAAAAGAGGGGATTGCATGAGAGTATAGTTATACCAACACTCTTATATGAGTGTGAAGCATGGGTGGTGAATCTTACAACAAGGAGAAGGCTGGAGGCAGTGGAGATGTCATGTCTGAGGGCAACGTGTGGTGTGAATATAATGCAGAGAATTCGTAGTTTGGAAATTAGGAGGAGGTTCGAGATTACCAAAACTGTTAAACAGAAGCTGAGGAAGGGTTGTTGAGGTGGTTCGGACATGTAAAGAGGCTGGAACAAAATAGAATGACTTCGAGAGTGTAATCTGTAGTGGAGGAAAAGCGGGGTAGGGGTCAGCCTAGGAAAAGTTGGAGGGAGGGGGTAAAGGAGGTTTTGTGTGCAAGGGGCTTGGACTTCCAGCAAGCATGCATGAGCATATTTGATAAGAGTAAATGGAGACAAATGGTTTTTAGGACTTGACGTGCTGTTGGAGTATGAGCAGGGTAACATTTATAAAGGGATTCAGGAAAACCGGCAGGCCGGACTTGAGTCCTGGAAAGTACAGTGTATGCACTCTGAAGGAGGGGTGTTAATGTTGAGGTTTTATAACTGTAGTGTAAGCATGCCTCTGGCAAGACAGTGATGGAGTGAATGAAAGTTTTTCTTTTTTGGGCCACCCTACCTTGGTGGGAAGCATCCAATGTGTTAATAAAAAAATAAAAAAAAAATGAAATACACGTACAAATACAAATAGATACACATACAAATAGACAGATTTACACTAAGGAAGTTATTAGTAGAATATACAATATAACAACCAAAAAATCACATCATGAAACTCTGTGTAGTCTGCAACTGCAGTAACAAATGGGTTTCTGCATGGATTAAATGCAACTTCTGTGAGAAATGGGCCCATGCATTCTGTGCAGATATTCAGGAATCACCTACAAGAATTATTAAACCAGGGAAGTGTTTTTGGGTATGCCCAAATGAGAACCAACTGTGGAAAAAAATCACATTGGTATTAATAGAAGGAAACATCAAAACAGCCTTCATAGAAAACCTGACAGCATTCTATAACAGATGGGAAAATAAAAGGGCTGGGCCAGATGGTGCTATGCCCCTGGTGTAGATGCTGTCCTGGAAGACAGTAACTGTAAGAATACAGAAATGAAAGTTGGTAGCCCAGAGGGAGACAGGAGCTCTAGTGGGAAAACAGGTGTAGACAAAGACATGCAAAACCCCAAAGTTACAAACTAGCAATACCACTGGAGATAGTAAACAAGGGGATGCCCAAAGGAATAGTATGTAAAGTAAAAGAACAGAAGTGCAACTAATGTGACATTTTGTTGTAGTAGTAGTAGTAACAATATGGTAGAACAATTAACTTGCACATGAGTAAAAGGATATAAAAGCTATTACTTGGGTAGCACAAAAATAGGTTAGACAAATATTTCTATTGGAAGTTGGATTGAGAAGGCCTGTTTCAGTGTTCATCCTCTGTAATGTGATTGTGTAGTATTAGCAGGAGAGACTATGTAATGGCAGGGTTTACTGTTTTCAGGAGGATTCTTGCTAACACTTCAGAGATGGTGAAGCTGCCTTTTTTTTGTTTAATTGTATTAGAAACAGCAATTAGTGCTGATTCAAGGCACTTGCATCTGTGGAAATTAGTTTCTTTGATCACTAATCGGGCATCCCTGAATTTCATGAGATGATTGGTGGAATTTTGGTGTTGTACGCAGGGGTTGTTCAAGTTATCGTTCCTACATGCATAAATGTGTTCATTGAGGCGGGTTTCGAGGTTTCTTGCTGTTTCACCTAAATAAATCCTGTCGCAGCTTCCACAGGGTATAGTGTAAACTCCTGCACTGACTGGTTCATGGTGCTTGGACTTTGTCCTGGTTAGATCCTTTATTGAAGTGCTGGAAGCAATGGCGACTCTAGTGTTAGCTTGTACAAGTACTTTAGAATCGTTCAATGCAACTTGGCCGTTGGGAAGAATTATATCTTTGTTAGCAGTGGTGTTGGTGCATGGAGAGTTAATGATCTGAAGAGCTCTTTTCTTGTAATCTTTGATGAAAAAGGAAGGAAAATGTAAATCAGTGAAGGTTTGGTGAATGTATGTACATTCCTCATCAAGAAACTCAAGACTAGGGTAATTCTACCAACATATATACACCAAGGAATAATGAAGATAAAAAACCAGAAAAAATGGTGAAGGCACCATTGTTAGTACAAGTGGTGAAGATAGTAAAGAGACAGAAAAACACGCACCAGTACAGAATGCAGTCATGAAAAACCAAGGCAAACAGAAATCAGACCTATGCAAATTCTATGCATTAGGTATCTGCAAGCATGGAATATCTGGAAAAACAGATGGGACATGTAATTCTGACCACCCCAGAAAATGCCGTGCCCATATGACAACAGGAAAATGCAACCTTCCTTCCTGTAAGCTTTTCCACCCTGAAATGTGTCACTCTTCAATTCAGGAAAAACAATGCTATAACTTACATTGTCAGACACACCATCTAAAGGAGACAAGAAGATACAGAACATCCAGACCATGGGAAAACCTGGGCAGCCAAAACCACTCAAGAGAGAGAGGCTTTTTAGTGCCAGAAAGGAAAACAGTTGGGAGGAAATGAGAGAAATGACAAAAAAAGGCACAATACCGTGACTGGAACGATACACAAATAACTGCACATAGAAGAGAGGAGCTTATGACGACGTTTCGGTCCGACTTGGACCATTTACAAAGTCACACTAACCAGAATTGGAGCAGGATGGGTATATATAGGCAGGAAGAGGTAGTGGTGGTAGTAGTAGAGGCGGCGGCGGCGGCGACGGCAGCGACGGCAGCGGCGGCAGCAGCAGCAGTAGTAGTAGTGGGGAATTAAGGAGGAGGAGCCAGTCAAATACAAAGAAAGGAGAGCACTGCAAGGCAGCTAGGTGCCCACGGAGGGAGAGCAAGTGTACTACCACTACTACCACTATCACTACTACCACTTCCACTACTACTACTACTACTACTACTACTACCACTACTGCTTCTACTACTACCACCACTACCTCTTCCTGCCTATATATACCCGTCCTGCTCCAATTCTGGTTAGTGTGACGTTGTAGTGGTCCAAGTCAGACCGAAACGTCGTCGTAAGCTCCTCTCTTCTATAAGAGAAATCTTACACCAACTCCAATCATTTCTGGAGCAGAATCACAGTTAATGGCCTCCACTCCAAAACAACAGATAATAGTGCCAGGATAAAAAAGACCCCCCCCCCATACTACCAATATGACAACATTCATCTTCGCAAATATACAGGGTCTAAAACTAGCAACGAGCAACAAAATACCTTTCATCCATGGACTGCTCACAGAGTCAAATGCAAAGGATCACCTTGACAATGAAATACGGATCCCGGGTTATAACCTATACAGATGCGCGAGAGCGAACAGGCAAAAGGGGGCGGGGGGGGGGGTTGGCCTGTACATCACAGAGTTGCCGATATGCTCGGAACTACTAAATCCTTCAAACGATGTAGTTGAAGCTTTGGCAGTAAAGACTGAAAACCAAAACTTGGTCATTGTGGTTGTATACAAGCCTCTGGATGCAATTTCCCAACAATTCAAGGAACAGCTTTTGAAAATAGACCACTGTCTGGAAAATCTTCCAGCTCCTGCCCCAAACATCTTGCTCCTGGGAGATTTCAACCTAAGGCACCTAAAATGGAGGAATGTAGCAAATAATGCTGTAGGCAGCTCAGATGAAAACTCACACACACATGAGCTTTTAAATCTGTGCACCAAATTCACCTTAAACCAGCAAATAATAGAGCCAACAAGATTGGAGAATACACTGGACCTCATCTTCACCAACAATGAAACAATGATGATCCGATACG